GTTCGCTCACATTTTTTCCTAACGGACTACTTATCCAGTAACGATGCATTGGATATTGTACACGTTCTTCCTGTCGCATCTAAAATTTACATGGAAATTTATTTTTACTTGCTTTGAAGGGACCCCGATGGGTTTTAATTAAAATCATTTTATTGCGTTTGTTTCTTTTATATATTAAGAAGAGATTTGAACCCAGAACGCTCTCCTGCGGAGCGGCACTGTGAACGGTTGCTCACTTCGATTTGGAGGCACCAGTTAACACACGCTGAGATTTGCATGCAAGAAAGTTGGCTAACTATTTCAGCATATTCCCATTCACGCCGTTTCGGCGTAATTTAAATGTAAGTCCATGCTGATGCAAGTCGTTTTCTTCAAGATGCCGCATTAACTCCGTTTTTATCATCTTCTCCATCATTATGCAGCAGATGCTTGTGAAACTCACTGGTCTGAAATTATTTGCGGCTGTTCTGCCGCCTTCTTCATATATAGGGCTTAAGTCAACTTGATTCCAGTCAGTAGACAGAGTTCCAGCCTCCATCGAATTTTTGAAGACCATGGATAGCGGAGACACCAATTGGTCTAAGAGTTGCTTCTGGACTTTCGCGAGTACACCGTCTGGACCAGGCGATTTATTGGGCTGTATTTGTCTCAAAGTTTCCTTACTGTGTCTGTTGTGAAGGCCAGCGTGCTAACTGTATTGCTTGATTTAGCAGCTGGGGTAAATTCTCTCAGCAAAAGCCGGCTCCTCAGCATACACGGACATGAAGTAATCGGGTAACAGGTTAGCCTTTTCTGAATTATCAGACAACTCGTTTCCCTGGCAATCCTTTAGAGGGGAATGCATTCCTTGTTGCGTCTCACCTTATTCGTATAACCATAGAGTTTTTGGAATTTCGCGATATTTTCTAGGAATTTTTGGCCCGAATTTTGTTCGTGCCCACCTCAGTCGATCCAGACATATATTCCTCTGCTCTTTAATGTCAATTACATGCTCTGATTGTTGACCTCTGGCGTATTTTTCCCAAAGTCCTGTCTTTCAGTCTAAGGCTCTTCTTTATTTCTGACGTCACTCACTCTGCTCGGGAAGTACTCGATCTCCTCCTGAATGGGCAACAGCTGTCTACCATGAGCTTCATTATTTTCTTGAAAATGAATCAATCACCTTCTGGATTAGGCGCTTGTGCAGTGTTCCATTTCTTCTTCTTTAGCAGATTTTCCATTCGGGAATGGTTCCCTTTACATACATTCCTCTCATCTACTTTGCGAATTTCGGGTACAAAAAATGACTGTACTCCCAATCAAGAATGCAAGACTACCTCGGCCCAGGGGCGTGTTAGAAGTTAATCTAAGGATGCGCTTTTCATCACTGGTAATGATGAGACTCAAATAATTTGACGGATGTTCACTGCGGAATCAGGCATCCATAGTAGCATGTTGAATGAGGAATTCGTCCGTGTCCAACTAAAGTGACTTCTGTCCAAATGAGTTTTCCGATCGCACGCAGTGCATCCATTCCCACTCGATGTCTGCAAAAACAAAACCTCCAAGGAGCATTCTATGTTTACTATGGCAGATTCGCTTTACCTCAGAGACGAGTGCATCGTGTGTGTCCTTCTGCTGTCTTGGGGGTCTGTATACCAAGGCAATATGGTGGTACTGTTGGTTTGGTACTTTCAGTTCACAACTAAGGATTTCGTGACCAGTGTTCCTCTTTGCTGAGGACAGGTCAGTGGCGTAGCCAATGCCCTCTCGAATGAACATCACAATTCTCCCGCCTCTACGTCTTCCCCAAAAATGTCACCGATAACCGGAATTCGTTAAAGAGTCGTTTGTTGTATCTGGAAAAATGTCACTGTCCCTTATCAAGACCCGAAACACCAACCGGCTTTAATGGCCAACGGGCGATCTAAGCAAGAAGAAGTTTTGCGCGAACGAAAGCGCAGGATTTGATTAATACAAAGCTCAGATGAACAAAGTTAAAGATAAGATTTTTTAAAGATGACGGAATTTCGAGAGCTATTTGCTATACGGAGTCGTCAAAAATCCTTAAAGGTTCTTCAGCTACTTGCAAATAACGGAAACCGGGTCCCTTTTATGAGGAATGATGAGGGTCTCGAGATATGGGTAATACAAACAAAGTCAAGCATTTTCGCAGCTCGTCCGGCATGTTTCAACGAGAGAAGCGGGCTTTAATCCACCTAGTTACGAGAGCATGGAAACATTAAGTACTGGAACTATTCTGTTCCGGGAAGAGGCGATATTAAAGAACCAAAAAGCTTGAAGGAATGTAAACCGCCTGGTCCGGACAAGAGTCCAGCAAAACTGCCTTTTGGAGTTGCTCACCTTATGCCAGAAACAGTTCAATGCTGGAGTTCTTCCCGTGGATAGGAAGACAGCACACATTACACAGATTTAAAAAAAGCGATAGTCCTGCACTTACAACCAACTACAGATGCGTCGGTCTGGAATTAATCTGCTGCAAAGGCGTGCAGATGACCATCAAAAAGGCATCGAGAAGTTATTTTGAAACCCACAGACTCTTGTTAAGTACATGATGTGGTTTCGTAAGAGACGATCGTATGTAGCAAACCTGTTTTACTTGGTGCAAAGCTGGACAAATGTGCTCAATGAAAAACGCACTGCGCATGTCGATCACACTGATTTTAGGAAGGCCTTCTATAATGCTCCGTACCATCCTGTCCTGTACAAGTTGACAGTGATTAGTATCAGAGTCAAACTACTTAAATAAGCCGGAAATTTCTTCGTCGGTTTTCTCAAAGTTTCCTGCGTAGTCAGAGCAGCAGTAATCAAGATGCACCATCATAGAAAGTGGAATTTTACAGTTTTCCGTACTATGACCGAGCCTCTTTCTCTCGTTTATCAGGGATAGTCTACGAGGACGGGATTGTAAGTTTGCCATATTTGAGGACGAAATGAAAATATGGAAAGCCATTGACGGTGATGCCGATGTAGCAGATGTTCAAGAAAATTTATTTTGATTGGAAGAATGGTCCCGCGGATGGCTTCCGTCATTCTGCTAGAAGGAATGCACGATCCTGTGTCTCGGAGACTGAAACCACTTCCTTGATATGCGCATCTATCATCTGAACGAACTCCCATCCCCGAAAAGCAAAAACAGAGAACGGTCACGGTGTTTGAAGAAAGAACATTCTAAAACCTTCTGCCTACTGTTGCAATGCGCCAAGACCGCAATTCCGATGGCGTACGCCATCAAGTAGGCATTTGCAGTCTTCGATGAAAACAGCTCCTCCAAAATCCTTAGTGCCTTGCAGGGCTGCATCGTAAATATGCGACTTAAGCCTGGAGACTCTGGACACAACAGAATTTTAACCTACCCTAAAGAGTGCTGAGGCATGAAAGTACTTAGAAGTCAAGCAGTACTGCCATACAAGACCCGCCTCATTAACCTTAATCTCTATCTTCCGAGCGCGAGGACTTGCCACAGGTTCTCCGTATCGTGCGTTGTTCAAAATGTGCCAGAGTGTGGGAACTTCTTGCAAATCGCCACTACAGCCGACCTCTCGGGTCATCCCTCTAAGTTACGTTTGTCTCAAGGAAGACTGGATTTAAGAAAGTGATGTGTGTAGTTGAGCCACGTAATAACCTGCACGGGACGCTTGTTATATCTCATTCTGTAGAAACATTCAAACACCGCCTTGACAGACACACAGTTTAGCAGCAGCTACACTACTTAACTGCGTCACCTCAAAGACATAAATGCTTATGGGAAATAACGTCTGTCTTTACCTTTTAGAGTAATTTTCTTGCTTTGAAACGAATTCTTCCGATTTACGTGTGACACTTAGAGAGCTTAGACATTTTAGCTTATTTTCCTCAAACACACTGGACTGAATGAAAAAGAACCTCTAAAAATGGCGGAAAACTTTAGGACAAATAGCTCATTTATTTGTCTGGTTCCACCTTTTGTCAAAGATACTGATGGCGCGGGGAGGGGGATTTTCGGAAGCAAGAAATTTGTATTCAGTACAGGGTATTTCTCCCTAATAAGATTTGACGACGTCTATCAGTCAGGATCATTTCTCATCCTCCTTTTCAGCAGTCTGTGAGCAAGGTTTTAATGTTACATACGTGCCGTAAGTAAGGCGCGTCTTTAGAATGCGGTTTGATATTTTCGACCTCCGAGGCTCCTTTTTTCGAGACTCCTGCGTACTGGACGCCCTGACGGCCTTTCTGAATTAAGAATTTGATTATTCTTACCAATATCTCGATTCTCACAGGATTAAAACAGGAGTTTCGTTAGAAAAACCTATATCCTTCCGACTACATCTCTGACAACAGTGCCGCGAGATTCCCAGATCCAAGAACGGCTCTCCTCTTGCTACTTACCTCATACCGTTGGCCTAGCTTAAAATCGCTTCCATACCGTCAAAAACGTTTTCAGTTTATTGACTTAATAGTGATAGTCGATTAAGGGTCCTCTAAACATTGAGCAAAAGGTCCACCTCAAGCCAGGATAGATCCTGGGCAAAAGAGTGGTGCCGAAAGCGTTGTTACCACTGGGCCACTTACGCGCAGCAGACGGCTTGACAAAAATGATACAATAACCGTAAGACGCTGTAAAAAGTGACTACTGTAATAAGTATCCTGCTGTCAAATCACCTCCCGCCCAACATGTAAGGTGTTTACTAGCTTAATTGGATGCCAAATACGAAGACGAAACCTGTGCGTCATGTTTTGGGCTTCTTCGGGAAATCTTGGAGGTGGAGAAGGATATAAGAAATCTAAGAAATGAGATGGGGAATCTGCTGGAACCCCGACGGGTCTTTAATAAAAAATTATTATTATGAAACTGTCTCACCATTCAGCCGAAAGGAAAGAAGTGGCTATGTGGGAGGTTCAGAAGCTAATCAGAAAAAATGTCAACACAACTTCAGTAACTGTGTTAGCCCCTGAAAAAGAGGACGGCTCGTCTACGGACCTAATCACAATCGATGACCCGTCTCATTTGCGAGAGAAAAATGATCGAAGGGGATATCAAAAAACGAGGAGACGTCTCGAAGCATCCCGAAGAGACAAGGTAGGCCAGAACGTCAGCATGAGAGAGTAGAATCCACACACGATGCAAAAAAATGTCTCACTGCCAAAAGAGGTACCACATGACCAAGAAACCTGGATAAACGTGGAACCCTACGGTGACTATACCATGACAACTGCCTATGAATTGGACAGTGATGACAACAAAAATTAGCGTGATGCAGACTCTTCGTATAAAAGTAAATGACAGTGCCCTAATTTGGTCGCAGTAAATGCATCATCGTAAAGGCTATGCCTGCGTATACTTCGGAAATCCCGAAGAACAGAATAAACTACAATATATAATTGTCCCAACAAAATCTTAAATCCTTATCACATGAGGACGAGAACATGATAATCTTGATAGCTTTCAGAATAGGACCAACTAAGGATTCGAACGGCGTGTCGAGCCATCATAGACCACTAAAAATTGTCGTCGAAAATGAAGAACGAGTTCCACTACTGATGAGGAGGAAACCTGCACTTCGAGATGCCCACCCAACAATTTCCTTCAGCGGGATTTATCATCGGCGGAACGGGAGAACTAGAGGAAACTCAAGGCCAGATTCCTCAGAAGAAACAATTTCAGGTAGAAAAACCTAAGAACGATGAGTAAGAAAATCGTAAATGTTCGGAATTTATTCCTCTGGTGATAATCAATAACACTGTCGCAGTGAACAATCAGATTATAAGGAAAGAACGCTCCTGTCTGTCTAACCGACCAGAAGAAATGACGGTCAACACAACGACGTCCAGTTCGATCACATAGCAGTAGACTCGGACGAAGACACTGGACCCGAAAACTCACACGAAATATCTAGCAACTTCGACCCAAAAATCGTTCGAGAATCTGCACGGACTAAGCTCCGCTTTCTTTAAGCAAATGCTCAAAGTTTGTTCCAGAAGATAGATGAAATGAAAGTGTGAATATAAGTCACGCAGCCGGATGTCATTTTTATCACAGAGACGTGGTTCCAGCCCGAAGTCTTGGATGCCAAAATTACACTCGATGGATACCAACTTTTTCGCCGAGACAGACTGCATAAAAAGGAGGAAACTAGCGATCTACGTCAAGAGGGTAGTCATCGCGTCAGAGTACCAAACTGATTGCTCCCGCGACTGTGAAGCACTATGGTTAAAACTAAGGGTGCATGATGCACCCAATGGGAATTTTCTGACCGTATACAGGCTAGCCAGTCAAACTCCTGAGGTTTACGAGGCGATGATTGGGTTAATTAAAGAGATGGCACAAAAAGAAGAGGTACTGATAACCGAAGACTTCAACGCACAGATGGTCGATTGGAACAATTTATTAGTAAGTTGTTCACGAAATTCCCTTTATTCCAGGCTCTTGAAACTAATGGCTAACCTCTTTCTCGTACAGAATATCTCGTTTCCAACCAGGATCAGAGAGGACCAAAGAACAGTTGTCTGGACCTCTTCCTAACAAAATACCCTACTAGTCCTGCTGAACTTAGGCCCATAGCACCGCTCAGTAAGAGTGTCCATGTCATACTGTTTTGGGAATACATCCTATGCAGCCAACAAAGGTATACGACTGAGACTCGGCTGAATTTCTGGTAAGGAAATGTTACCGGCATGAGGAGTGAATTATCGGTAGTGAACTGGCATGATGTTCTTACCGGACATCCAGATGCTGCTTGGAACAATCTTAATGGACTTGTAACCGACGTCATTCATCGAAACTGTCTGTCAAAGAGAGTCCAAAAAATAATCGTCCTGCCTGGATAACGCGAGACATAAAGAAAGAGGTCAACCGAAGAGTAAACTATTGAGAATGTACGCAAAAACAAAACAACCTTCTAATTATGAGCATATTCGTCGAAAAATAAACGAGGTAAGGCTGACTATCCACAGGTCGCTGAAGGAGTATGAAACGTGATTTATGGAACGGGCCGTCGATAAACCAAATGTACTCTTAAGTTACATCAATAGTAGACGGTCTCAGTGTTGAAAGGAGAAACCAATGAGGATATTATCGAAAATGACGCTAAGTCAGAACACCTAAGCTGGTTTTTCGCATCTGTTTCCACTAATGAAACGAACTTTCACGAGGCTGGATTGCGTACTGGAACAACTGACGAATAAATGGAAAACATTGACTTCACGAAAGAATATGTGAGGACGGAACTTCTAGCGCTTAGGGAATGTAAGTCTCCGTGTCCCGAGCAGATTCCGGCAAAAGTTCTGAAGGAGCTGGCTTACGAACTCACCAGACCGCCTTTGCATTTTTTAGTGCTGAACGTGACGCTGGCTTACGTCGAGGCAGTTAGCAAAATATTTATAATCATTCACTAAAACACAATGCTTGGTATGCTTGAGAGTGTGTTACTGCCAGAGAGGGTGGTGCAGAGTAAGAATTGCGTCACTTTCCGATGGCATGGGGTGCGTATGGCTGTACTGGCTAAGCTTCCTCCTAAAAATGTCTACAGATAGGGACATAGGGACGCCCGCAGGCAAAGCATTCCATGCCGCAATCACTCTACCGACTAAGAGCCTCCTTGAATTCCGTCTTACCCCAATCACGGGTTGTTTGAGGGGATGTACTCGCAAGCTAGTATTTTCGGTCCGGTCAAAGAAGTCGCCAGATGCAAGGCAACAGTCCTGACACAACAATGTGCAAAACATTTTTGTCCGGTTGCCTCTTAGTTGTCTATGATCCAGAGGGAAGATGTCGAGATTAGAGGATCCTGTTTTGTATGCCAGTGAGTCTTGACCATGAACTAGCTTGTTTGCACACCATGAGATTTTATACGGACGCAGTAGTCTTTGATACTTCATGGTTTCTGGGCATGAATGGCATACCCTAATTGAAGTCACGCAAACGTCCCAAAGACCTTATGGAAACACTTTTTATTGAACTTTGCAGGGGTCCGTTTGATGAGATCTAAGCTTGATATTGCGGATTTGGCTATTGTCGAATCACGACGCGATGACAAAAACGAGGGCGTGACCGAGGAAATTAAACAAGGCAAACTAATTGGTCTGTAATTACCTGCGCATATCCGACTTTAGCCCTTATACAACGGTGCTTTCCATGCTTGTTTCCAAATGGCCAGTAAACATCCGGCTTCAAAGGATTCCTGGAGTGCAATAGAGACTGGCTTTACCGATTCGCCGGCGAGCCCGACCAATGTCTTCACCTGCATCTTATCGGGACACAGCTGTCTGAACTACTTTCCCAGCAGTATCTCCTTTAGAAAAACCTTTACGATTAATTAAACGACCCCAATAATTGTAGCCACTTCGAAGTCTATTTCCACAGGATTGTATCCCGTCTCCCTGGTGAAAAGCTATCTTAAAGACGATCAGAGTCCACTCCATCTACTGTGCGGTATGTGCCTTCAGCGGCCCTCTGCAGAAGTATTGGATCCCTATTTCGCAAGTTCTGTCTGATGTAACCGTAAAAAGACTTTGATTTCTATGAAGCACTTTTCAACAAATCCACTTTGAGTTTTCGCTAAATTTGTGTACACGTATTGATGTTGGGTTCCATTCAGGAAGAGATTTCACCCACAACCTCCATTTTTTGTTCAATTCAATTCGTAAGGCCTGACTCAGTCACTGGGGTCTTTTGTTAATCTATTTCACAAAAGCGGACTACGGCATGCGATGAGCCTGTGCGGTGCTTTGTGTAACTACTGTTGTTGTGGTGCAATTCCCTCAAAATACATTTGTAAAAGATGTTTCTCATTTCCAAACGTGTGGCTGGAAGTTTGACCGGGTGATTCTGACAGGATAAATAGTACGCTTCATGAGGATACAATCTCTGTTAACTGGGCTACAGTCACCGAGTCTCATGCATCTGTAATAAAAAATAATAATAATAATAATAATAATAATTATTATTATTATCATTATTATTATTATTAAAGACCCGTCGGGGCCCCATTACACTACGGCATCTGACTATTCTATTTTGACAGAGAGCAGTCAACGTACTGTATCAGGTTTGGTGGATTTTAGACGTTGCAGTAGGTTGGGCGGGCAAACTTGACCCGAATGTGATTAAACTCGCGTCGTCCAGCGGGGGCTGGTAGCTTAGGTGCTTAGAACGTTAGCTGTACTAAAGCATTCACCTCACTGTCGTAGGTATAAATCCCACCAATTCGCAGAGTTTTTCACATTCGAGTCAATATGAATTAGTCGAAATCTGCCAGACATAGCTATGAGTCATATATTCCTCATATGAAGGAACGGGCAAATGTACTGATCCGAATATCTACTGTCTACATTCTTCTAGCCGACAACATGCATCAACGTCGGATCCAGACGGGATATGAATTCCTCCACGTGAGCCGAAAAGCGGCTCTGAAGAGAGAAGACAGATAGTGGGTTATGCCTAACATCGTAAAATAAAAGTGAACCCCGAGCAACTTTACTTGACCTCAGTATTGTTTTAATTCACAAAGTAAGTTTTAACTGACCTTCGCGTGCACTCAAGCACTCTCTGCTCCGCTGTCCGAGGTTTGTGTCTGTTCTCCCGCCGTCGTCGTCTTCATTTTCATTGTTTTGCATGACTTTCCCTAGTTCTAAGCTGACGTTTCTCCGTCTTTGTAAGTTAATATGTCTAGCGATGTCACCAAACCGTACCCGCCCCCACCACATTGATAATCGGTCCTCATGCGTCTAATTTGTTCATTCCTCTATGTATCCTATGGGCTTTGGGTCGCAGTTAACCCTATTTCTCGCAGGAGCGTGTCAGTGATAGAACCTAGTCAGATATCTAGGATAGTTTTTTTGATTGAGAGCCCGCAAATGTTTTTTAAGAACAAGTGTCTCAGTGACTGGTGTCTTCCCGTTGTTCATAGTGAACGGCATGGCTTCCTGGGTGTTCCCATCCTGTCTGGGGTCACTCAAGTCTCTTTTCTTGACCACCCAAGTATATGCCTGCTCTAGTTGCCCGGCATCTCTTTGCAAACAGTTTTTCAGGGCGCAACCGTCGGGGACTCCTCACCCACATGCTTTTTAGTAACCTAGCTTTAATAGTCGGACAGCCACTCGCAAACCCGGAAGTTTCCAGTCTCCAAGATGAGTTGCAGTTAATTACAATTTGACCCGGGTACTGTTCTAGATAAGACATTCGTGCGTTTGTTTAATTCACTCTCTTAAAATGTGTTTTCTGCAAAAATCCCTTCCCGCTTGACGTCTTTCGAGTGTTCAGTCCCGATGCTGTGACTGTGTCAACTCTGATGCTCTTGCGACGTTTTGCGATGGGTCTGGGTCGTCTTCGTTTTTTGTTTGTTTTCTAAATCTTCCGGACGCTGATATCTCGACCTTCCGACCCCCGACCGTTGCCCGACACCTTGGATTGATGTTATTATGGATGCCTTTTTCTAGACTTCCCTTTCAGCACCGGAACTTCAGTCCAATATTATACTTGCAATGTTCTGTTGTCACACCCCACTAACCCACCTCGAATTCTCTCGTCCTTTAGTTTCTAACATCTTCATCCGCACTATGTCCATTCAGTCGATCCATGCTCGTCAAATCTTCGACAGTCGGGGCAACCCGACTGTAGAAGTCGATTTAAAGACTGCAAAAGGTATGTTTACTAGACTATCACGTTATAATTTGTCTGTGGAGTAACGTCAACCTGACCAATTTGTTCCCATCCATGTCAGGCATGTTCCGCGCTGCTGTCCCCAGCGGTGCCTCCACTGGTGTTCATGAAGCCGTGGAGTTGCGTGATGGTGTCAAGGACCAGTACATGGGCAAAGGTGTCCTTAAGGCGGTCGACAATGTCAATAAGGTTATTGCTCCTGCTCTTATCAAGGAGAATATCCCAGTAACAGAGCAAAAGAGGATCGACGAATTCATGATCAAACTGGATGGGACTGAAAACAAAGGTAGGTTCCCAGCATTTTTCTTGTACTTCCAATGCCGCTTTGCTGGTGCAGTTCTGATAAGCCCCCTCGCACTTTTCCTCTAGGCAAACTGGGCGCGAACGCCATTCTCGGCGTCTCCCTCGCCGTCTGTAAGGCTGGTGCCGCAGAGAAGGCAAGTCCAGAATTGCCCTTATATTCTAATTGTTGTGTCCGAGCCTCGTTCTATCTTGCTTCCATCACATTTTTAGGGCCTCCCTCTCTATCGGTACATAGCTGACCTGGCCGGCAACGCGGAGGTCGTCTTGCCCGTGCCTGCCTTCAACGTCTTGAATGGTGGAAGCCATGCCGGTAACAAGCTAGCCATGCAGGAGTTCATGATCCTCCCTGTCGGCGCAAAGTCCTTCACCGAAGCCATGAAAATGGGCTCCGAGGTGTACCACAACTTGAAAAGCGTCATTAAGGCCAAGTATGGACTGGACGCCTGCAACGTCGGAGACGAGGGTGGCTTTGCCCCTAACATTCAAGATAATATGGAGGGACTAGAACTGTTGAAGGTTGCGATCGAGAAGGCTGGATATACCGGGAAAGTAAAGATAGGAATGGATGTTGCTGCGTCCGAATTCTACCAGAATGGGAAGTACAACCTCGATTTCAAGAACCCCAATGCTGACCCGTCCAAGTTCATTACCGCTGACCAGCTGGCCAACATTTACATGGAAATGAAGTCGAAATACCCTATCGTTAGCATTGAAGATCCCTTCGACCAGGATGACTGGAACGCCTGGACTGCCTTTTCGGGCAAGTCTGGCATCCAGGTTAGTTTTCCTGCCGTGCTTTTCGCATACTTAACTCTACTTAGTCGCATAACTGCTTATATGTTTGTCTGCGCAGATTGTCGGCGACGATCTCACCGTTACCAACCCGAAACGCGTGCAAAAGGCCATTGACAGCAAAGCCTGTAATGCTCTCCTTCTAAAAGTCAATCAGATTGGCTCCGTCACTGAGTCAATCGAGGCTTGCAATATGTCAAAGAAGGCTGGCTGGGGCGTAATGGTCTCGCACCGCTCCGGTGAGACGGAGGACTCTACTATTGCCGACATCGTCGTTGGTCTGCGAACCGGTCAAATCAAGACGGGTGCACCGTGCCGCTCAGAACGTCTGGCGAAATACAATCAGCTTCTGCGAATCGAAGAAGAACTCGGTCCCAAGGCTGTCTACGCAGGTGAAAAATTCAGGAATCCTTGAGCATCCTACCGTGCTCCTTGTTCCTTCACACGTAGTCATGTTATCATGTTCGCTCTTCTCGAAGTAACAACTTTGTGCTTTGAGATTATTTCAAATAATTCCTCTCCAAAGTTTGGTTTTTACTCTTCCGATCTGACCTGACGCCGGTTTCTGGTATTGGCAGCAGCATGGGGAGTCGTTTTTGAAACTTGGTATTTCGCTGCACACATTTGGTTACCTCCGTGAGGTCAGGAGTCCGTCAGTAATATCCTTTCCATTCCAGGGATTCGCAATTTAAATTGAGCACGCAGGCCACAAGTCTTTTTTACGTCTACGTTTTTCGTTCTTGGGATTCGTGGCGTCTTGTGTAATATTCTCGAAGGTGTCCGGTGGCGCTCAAACCGACTTAACATAAAGCGCGCTCCGCATCCGATCTGTTTACCTGTGTTTGCCAAGAACTTGGGCTGACTGGTTCCGTGCCGTGGTTTACTCTGATCAGAGGGTGTTGAGTCTAGCGTCTTAAGACGTCTTATTCCGCGCTCAGTTACCCCAGCGCCTGCTATTTTGCCGGCTCCGACTATGGGGTCGGGAGCCAAGAGGGCCGGTCAGTGGTGGTGCATACCGAGTCAGGTCTATTGTGATCGCATGTAGACAAGACTCGCCACCGTTGTGTGTAAGGAAGTCGACGAAAGCCCCGCCGGATATTTTCGTCTGAATAGTAGGGCTGGGTCTCCTGAGCTACTGCTTTTGTGTTTTGTCATGTAGTATGAAGTGAGTGGTGAGAGCATAGTAATTGTGCTTTTCGTTTCCTTCACAGACTCAAGAACGCGTTAGCATAGGTGCGTGTGTTTTCGTTAGACTCGACTGACTTACTGTTTAGTTTCGAGCGTCAGGTCTGGCTGTCCGTTACCTGGGACCAGTGAGTCCCGCAAGAGGCTGTATTATGGAGTCTGGGTCGCCCGTGTCACCATGCCTGTCTCATTGACCACCAGTGGCTGACCATTGATCCGTGGTCCCCGTTGACGCGCCTAACAGGCTAGACAAGCGTCCGTCAGCGTGGATTCGTTTTTCATCGTGACTAACGTTGGACCTATCAACTACACCTTAGAATTGGGGTTGGGACTGACTGAGATGCCTGATTTGTCGGTGACCCAGTATTCAACGGGCTCAATGTAAAAAGTGAACTATAAAGCTTACGCTTTAATAAGGGGAGGACGGATGTGTTGAAATAATTGAAAACTGGCGCTTACTTGAGCATCCTGACCTCCAGATGGGCGGACTACAGAAAGTCCACATGCGTGAGGCACTCACCCCGAAGTGTTGTGTCTGGATTAGTATGAACGATTCTGGTAAAGGAAGACGAGGACAGTGCTACTAGAGACTGGCACGTGAATAATCTACCAAGGGCGGATTTTTTCGTTCCTATCTTTGTGGCCGTTGACCTAAGATATTTTCGCCCAGCATCTCACTTCAGATTTGTTCGCCTTCACTTCCTGCACACGTTGGTCTTGCAGCCCAACCGATTGCATGACGGACTGCAGTAGGGGCGCACGCGTTCGGATAGTCACGGCCGCCCATATTTTTCAGGCTGAATTGTTCACGGACTGGGGAACAAGGGTCTTGGACTTTCTCCCGACAACACATAAAATGGCCAACGTCATAGCCTCCCTCTCTTAGACATGGTTGAACAGTCGGCGAACGTCCTGATCTCGGCCAAGGAGCCTGGTGCTTATCATATAAGCTCGTAAGAACACTGCATCGTGATGACAATTTGTGACTTTGTAACTAGTGACCCAGTTTGACTTTCGTCGAACTAATTTACAGTGGTCCAGAGTCCCGTTCTGGTCGAACATTTGTAAAATCAAGTCAAGGCCTTAAAGGTTTAATCGCGTAGGGGTGTACTGTGCCTGGCAGGAGTCGAATTTCCTATCCAAAAACTAGGGATGCAGCATGTAACAGGCAAACTTATTGATATATAATGTATGAGCTACACTGAGGTGTGTGTGCATGTGCAGGGACAGTGACGTGTGTGCGGAAGCTACTACTGACTGACCAACATTTGAGCTGCGCAGTTGCCTTATGGCGTCACATGACACGGTCTGCTTGTCCGGAATGACGTACATGAAGGGACAGAGCTCGTGTGGCCCTCGTCGCGAAGATGAAGCATTCTCAGGCGCGCAGCTGCAGTACCCACCGTCCAGACTAAAAGCAACAGAAGCTCCGAAAAAGGGCTATTTAAGGCCTAAACTAGTGAGTGATGGTGCGATCGGTTGAGTACTCGGAAGGTAAGAGCGATTCTAGGGCTGTTACTTAATGAGCTGCATCTGTGGAAGTTTTGTCCTTACAACGAATAACGCAATAGGTGCGCTAGATCATCGCAGGGATATGTAGCGTAAGTTTACACTCACTGCAAACTAATCCACGCGAAAGTCACTATCCCTGCTCTCGCCCTGCTGTGGAGTACACAGTAGACATCGTCAGTCACGACGACCGAAATATAATTTGTGGAATTTAATGCAGGGAGTGAATCGAGGGGGATGATTTCGCAGAGGAAGATAGATATGCGGGAAGCTGGAGGAGCAGGAAGCTGGACAGCTGCGCACTTTTAAGGAGGGACCCGAGAAGACACCCAGGAACTTCCACCACAAGATCTGCCCGCCTCCATGGTCAAGTTCTGAAAAATTGACGTCGAAAAAACATGCGAACTGCTGAATGGTAAAAGCGGTGGTTAGTCGCACCTCAACATCCCATCAGATTGCTTCAATGTTTATTCATTGGTGAACTTACCCATTTTCGGGCAAGGTAGTTTGGCCGTTTTAAAAGGTCCCAAAGGCTTTGTGTCCATAATCGCAGACCGCAGATTTCGGCCATTGTATTGATGACGAGATGGGACCGAATTCTCGCCAAAATATGGAAAAGGGTCAGGAAAAAGGAGGTCGGTTGCCCAAACTCAAAGTGTTGTTACAAAATGTTGTGCTCGACCTTCCCTTATATCCCTTCATAACGGAAGAAGTAACTTAGGACCGATACCCCACCAGCCAGATAACCAGTTGACGATGGCATCCGGAAATCCGACGACTGCGCAACATCTTTTAGATTGCCACAGTAGCCGTCAGCTGCAACATGAAAGCCGTTGCATATGCATGCATTGCCGACAAGCAAAAACTCATAGAGAAACCCCAGTTACAAGTGGGCGACTTTGAAACAATGGTAGATCGCGAAAGTTAGTTTAGGGCAGCACATGGATCTCCAAGGAAAGAAACGAATAAGCCGGCAAGCCCAAGTTAAGACGCGACATCATGTAAGGGGAAATTACGTTTAACGCCGTTATTTGTGTTCTTACGCTGCTTTGGACATGAGTCACCCGTCGGTCCGGTTCAATACCCGGCGTAGTCCTCAATGGAGAAGCGTCCTAGGTTTCCTACTGGCTGTAATAGAGCTGCGGAGAGTACGACACGGACATAGAGGCACCAGTACGAAATAATGATGCAGAATTTGGTAACGAAGTCGTAAGTGATGGCCCATGCCGTTCAGGCTGGGCGCAAGTTCGGTCTAGGTGCCGTCTATGCCGCGGGTCGAAACAAGCAGCCAGCAAAACGGTTGCTGTCGGACACTCGTACGATCAACTCCCACTTCTCCTAACCTGTGGCTGCATGGATTTGAGCCACCACCCATCAAATGCTCGATAAATCAACGAAACCGTACGGTGTTTCTAATCAAAACTTAACCCCACTAAGAACGAGTACGCGTGCTATGTCAGTAGTGGTCAGATAGGAAGACACGTACGGAAGGTAATACCCAATTTTCAACCATCACTGGAAATATCTCCCACCAACACCGATTCTTTAGTTCCAGCCATACATCAGATTCAGCCGCTGCTGGTAATTTGCAGTCGGACCTGGTGTTTACAGCGTTGCACCGTACTAAACCTATCCGATAACTTTTGTCTTTTCACTACCATCCATTGATGTATTGAAGCGTCTGAAAAACGACTGCTCCCAGGGTTATTCACAATTAAGAGTCAAGCGGCTCGAGTTGTGTGCGTACGTTGAGCTCCACAATTGTCCGGCCTAGTCTCAGTTAGCAAGAGGAGACAGGACACCAGAATGGGAAGCGGGAAAGGTTTATTGCGCGCAGAACCCCGAATTACTGTCGCGGGCAGCCATGGACGCTGGCAAGCCCAGGACATGTGCTGACAGTGCGAAGTCTTTTCCGAAAGGGAGACTGCCTCTACCTTATGGTATTTTACATCGCTGAAAGGCTGGAGTGTTAAGATATGGACCGCTGTAGCCGTCTAGATGTACATGTGCCCCAGCCGAAGTCGGTTGAGTGGCCACAGATCGATGCGTCTGGCACAGGCTGAAGTGGCTTTGCAGCGGGGGCCCTTGCGATGAAGTGTTGTGAGTTTTAGTTGATCTAGTTCCGAAGCAAATAGGGCGGTCTGCGCATTGGCGAAAGTTTGTTACAGCTCGGGGCGAGAAGGACCAATACTAAGGCCTAAGATTATCATATGATTGGTCAACTCCAACGGTTATGACTCTCTTCTGCTTTTTTCTCTTCACAGTTGAGGTCAAACTTAGAGAATGATCTGAAAGTGCAGAATGATAGGCGCGTCAGAAAAGGGAACTATTTGCCTAATTCCTCCGTAAGATTAGCCTTTTAGTTTCCCAGTTCCTATGGTTGCCTAGGAGAGTGTGCTGTGTTCAGTCGTTCCTTCGTGCTTCTCTGTACTCAAGAATGTCTTAGATTTCATCCTAGCTCCATTCTAGGTTCTTGTACAGGAGGCTGGATAAGTTGTATTTACGAAGGTACTTGCATACGACACATGCACTCCTGTGCAGATAGCAAACACACAGCAACCATGTCTCCGATATACGCTGGACTCCACTCCGCAGAACCCTCCTGACTGACAATCAAAAACCCCTCCACTATCCCTCTTCTCCACTCCAGACTGAGTCAACGAGATACTCCCTTGCCTGTGGTTGGGTGCTCTTGACACCTCTAAGCGGATGAATGACTGA